CGGTGGTTTAGATCAAACCGTAAACTTCCGAGAGATTTAAATTTTAGATTAATCCAAACCAACTTAGATAACGAAGTTAGCAAAAAAACCATCTACGTAAATAAACGGGTCCCATTAACAACAATGCTATCAAAACAGGTGCTTCGGTTATGAATATCTACCTGACTTTATGAATGCGGGTAGAGCGGTAGGACAATTTTTATCAACCGATGTGCCGCAGAGAGTGAGAGAGACGGAGCGTGTTCCGGCTGTTGTGCCGGAATAAAGCTCCTGTTAATGTTAAATATGGGAATCCTAGTGTAGTAGGGACTACCCGAAACTGTAAGCGCGTCGTTGTCTTATTTAAACAATGCCTAGCACACTTATTTCTTTATCTTTACCATAGGATCCTCCTCCGGACGGAGGTTCTTACCTACTTAGGGTTAGTGTAGGTTAAATGGGCTCCACACGCGACACTGTTGGTAGAATATGTGTAAAAAACAAAAACATGGGTTAACCTTTGCTAGAATTTTTCGCATTTCGCGAGTTGGACGCGACTTTTTGTTTCGGCAAGCTGAATTTACCACTATAGATGCTAAATATTATGTACAATAACATTAGTTTCCACAGTCATAAAAATGGGGGGGAGCTTGTTTAATTGTATAATTTTTACGTAAATTCACGTTTTTTGCTTATAACTTTTTTCCGTTCATTTCCACGAGAAAACAGTACAGTACTTTTTTTCTGTCTTCAAAAGACCTACAAAACTAGCCCTCGAACGTCAAAAAATATTGAGTAGACCAAAAGTTATAAACAGAAGAAGTTTTGAATTACACATTTATAAACTGCGTTATTATTACTAGAACGTTTTGGCGTCGCATCCTCTCATTCCTTATCACTGTCTAATAACTCACACGAAATCTGGAATCGATAAGTTGAATAGTTTACAAGTTATGGTCCCATAAACAAATTAACTAATTATTAGTCTGGACGATCCCGAGCATCTTCCACAATCACACTGAATTTTTTCATGGTAGATTTCATAATAATACATTGAAAATAACATTTTTTTTTAAATTTCAAATTTGCAACCTGGAAAGTTTTTTTATTTTTTAGCCTTAGTTGCAAAATGAAATATACGGCGCACGCGCGTGATATAGTCATATATTATAAAATAATAGTAAAAAATCAGGTGCCGAACCCTCTCGCCGGAATCTTCAGGTTACCAACCCCCGACCCCCGTGGGGGCAGTTCGGTGGCGTGTGTGTGTGTGTGTGTGTAGGCACAGTCGACCGGACGGCACTGTTCGGCGTACTTATGAGAGTCGGCTTCCCAACTATTTCCCACGTTTAGGACACCCTAAGCAAGTCATGTCATTACAACCCCATGCCACCGTAAATGCTACTATTTGCATTTCGGTTTCTCTCCTTTTTCTTCGAAAGCCCGCAGAACGTTTTAGAGCGACAGCCTGAATTAATTTCGCCGATTTATTTCTCGACAAAGGGTTTGTTTTACGTTTTGGGAAACGCTTAGTTGTTTGTCATTACACAGGGTGATGCGTCCGACCCACAATTGAAAAACTGCACTGAAAAAAAAGTATTTGGATCAAATGAGCAGATAAGTAGTTTTAAATGGAATTATTTGCCGTAAATGTTAATTTATTCCATTCAAATGTATATACTTTCGTCAAACTATGTGAAATATTTGCTGTATTCTATAATTTTTCTTAAAATTTATATTATTTCTAAATATATATAATTTAATTTAAATCTTATATACATAGTTTTAAAATTTATTATCTCGGACTGCAATATCTCTTACAGTTCATCATAAACTGCAAACATATTTGTTTCAAAAGTACCAGTTCTTTAAAATATTTACATATATTTACAATTTAGTATTAATGTAGGAATTATTCAAGACAAATGTAGCATATTATAATCAAACTTGTTTTCTTGAAAGAAAATTGTAGGTCACAGAATGGTGTAGGTGAGAAGTAGCACGATAGACCATCAACATCAAATATTTATTTTAAATGCTGCCTATTTTTAAAGTAAGAAATTATATTTCTGGGTAGTTTTAAATAAATAATTTTCTTCAAAGAAGAAAATATTTTCTTGCGTAAATATAAACGTGCGATATCTTAAAATCAAATGTTGTACATTTGAAGCAAGAATTTTTTTTGTGTTTGGAGTGATTTTTTTTCAGGACATGTGAATTGTGGCTAATTATGGAACCTACAATTCCGATATTTTTTTATATATATATTACGCCCCAGAAATAAGTGCCAAAATTTTAGGCATTTAACTCATCAAAAGCGACAATTTTTTCTAACATTTACTTTCTAAGCTCTTCGTTTTAAAGATAATGTAATTCCTTTTAAATTTAAAATGCTTGTTACTCACTACGAATTAACAATAAATAAAAAGTTGCATAAAAATGTGTTTTAGAATTTAACATTTTTTTTTCTTTCTTTTGTTGTTTTTTTAAAAAAAAAACAAAATGAACCATTTGAATTTGAATAGCGAACCATTTGAATAGAATGAAATATTTGAATAGCGAACCTTTCCATCTTCTTTTAATCCGTGCTCGTTAGCGTTGTTTCGAAAAATATTGTTGATTTTTAGTTAAAAACGTGCTAAAAATTTGGCACTTATTTCTGGAACACCCTGTAGAATTGTATGTGCGCGCTTATAATCCGATTAAATGGGCCTTTAAATCGCAATTTTGGTCAACTTGCCTGATTTTTTTTTTAAGTTAGTTTGATGTAACAACAAGTGACAGTAATGTTTTTTTTCAACCCCCGGCCAGGGGTTAAAAAGATAAAATAAGGGGTTTTTCAAGATAACTCGAAAGCGGTAAGTGCTAGAAAAAGTTTCTTATAAAAGTTCTACATAAAAATGGTCTATTGACTTTTTCTTATACCTACCATTAAAATTAGCAGTTAGTGTCAGTAGAAGTTAAGGGATGATTTCGGAAATTTAAAAAATCATAATAAGCAGAAAAATGAATTATTTTTATAATTTTTTTTTCAATCTACTCTAAAAAATGTCTTCTCAGAGAAATACATAGATATATTTTTTAATTTTTAATAAAAAAGTTATAACAATTCACAAGAAAAAGTCAATAGACCATTTTTTGTAGAATTTTATGCTGTACAACTTTTGCAAGAATTTTTTTTCTAGCTCATACCCCTTTTGAGTTATCTTGAAAAAAACCCTTTATTTTATCTTTTTTCACCCCTGGCTGGGGGTTGAAAAAAACTGTCACTTACTGTTATTATATACCGCAAATTAACGTATATCAAAAATTCACGCAGGTTGACCAACATTGCGATTTAAAGGCCCATGATTGGACTATGTATTATTGCTGTACGAGTTTGCTACGCGCCATTTTAAAGTCGTATTTTTTTATGGCGATGCTGACGAAGCGCAGAACATTAAAAAAACAATGGAATTATTATTTTTGCTGTTTTATAAAAAGTACATAATAAAAAAAAATAAATAAAAATACTTTACTAATCTGATGGGTCTGAAATATTTTTCAATTTTTTAATAAAAAATACTTATTAATATTTATTTAAAGCACCGTGTTTAGTTTAGGTGAACAACACAATTTCAATCCACCTGATGTGATATGACAACAGTGCGTGTAAGTAATTTATTTCGGTGTGACGGTGCGTTTGTGTGTCTTCAATTATGTGTGATATTATGAAAAAAACATGTACACGAATTAAGAAAATGAGATTTGGCAGCAACGCATGCTGTAACTTCCGGCAAACGGCAAAAAATACGTTTCTGAAGGTCAAAGGTGGGCCTTCCACGAAAGTTGCGCCCTGTATATAAAAAAGTAACTGACCACCACCGCACGTCACTGCAAATTTTTAATGGTCGACCAGTTCGTAATAAAAGTGGTGGCTTAAATGCAGCTAATGAACTTCCTGTCCAAAGGAACACACGTGCAAAGGTATTGTTAAAATATTCATAATATGTTGGCAGCGGCCGTTTTTTTATGGATATTGTAAAACCTAAAACCCTTGCCGCTTGACCGTCGCATATTATTTTGTGCGAAATACAATATATGGAAACGCCCTTTGTTGTCCGAGATTATCTTCATGGATGATGAGCGAAACGGGTTTCGACGATTGCAAATAAGGGGTGCAATACTCGCTGAAAGTTTATCGCAAGCAAACACTTATAACTCTGTCCGATCAGTTTTAAGTTTAAATTGCCTAATTTTTTATATCTTCCGCTTATTTAAACGTAACATTTGCATATATGCAATATAGTAGTTAGGCATAATCTTCGTGCCCGCCCATTATATTTTTATATTAAAAAAAACCTGCAGGGCAACCAGCTGAACTCATTACCTCGCGCATTATTCCAGTTCTACTAGTTCGTAATGCGTTGCAAAAATCACATAAAGGACGATTATTTTCGGCGAGGAAGGGGAGGACCTTCTTTGTATTACGATTTTTGGTAGGCCCTATTCACTGGCCTCGCTTAGGCTTAGAACATGTTCAGTTATTTCATCCCCTATTAGAGCACAGTTAAAAAAAAATTTTATGCGAACAAGTTTAAATTAATTTGAAATAAAAGTTGCTGTTACAAAACCTCTAATGCTATCAAAGCCAGCTAGGTAGCTAGATCTGTCACCCATTGAGTTCCGAGGTGGAGTTGGTGTAATAGGAAAATACTAAATAAACAACTTCAATATAACATTTATTCTAATTATACTAAAAATTCGAAATCACAATAAATCATCCACGTCAAGTGAGATCATATAAGATATATTTATAAAAAATACACCGCCTTCCGGCGAAATCTTCGTTATAAGTTCTGCAAAACTATCTATGGTACACTAGAAAAATAAATAAAAATTCGTTAGGTACAATATAATGACTAAAACCTCCCAAGGCGGGCGAAGCTAAATAATACATGTACAGCAAGGCTTGGATTTCTTCACCTGAACACTGGTATAAGGTACACTGGAGGGCACTTGTTTCACTCTAAATTAACTCTTCAGTAAGCGACTTCCGCACCCCACGGTCGGTAAGGTTTCATCCCTTGCGACGTGGGAATACTTTGACTGTAATTCTGGTGATGGCTCGTGGTTGGAATACTGAACGTGTTCACTGGGTATTGGTGGGGACTGTACGCCAAAGCCGATGAAGTCGTGGTGGTCAATGGGGTCAAGATAGATGTGGAAGGAGCTAATCTACTACTATCTGTGGAAGGCACTGGAGGTGTACTTTGAGCGCAGGAAGTAGACACGTCGAAATGTCCCAGATCGTGATGCATATTCTGGTGATGGATTGGAGGTGGTGGGGGTTGATGAGGGTTCAAGTTGCCGATCGGTCCGTGATTCGAAGCTGGCGAGGGAGGCAGCGTGTTCAGAGGGGGGTAGGGTTGAGAACTGCCGTAACCCCATGGAGCGGTTGTCGCTTGTTTTGAAGCTAACTCTCTTTGGGCAGCGCAGCATTGGAGGTGTGAAGTCAACCGTAATCGTAGAGGATTTTGAACGTCCAGGCCTTCGATTCGCTCGAGGTATCTCACTACTTCTGCTACGCATTCTCTGAAGCCCATTCCGTGGTAGTCCATTGCGTACTTGTGGGGGTCGTAGGCGAACGAGTCCAAACCTGGAACAGAATGAAAATGTAGTTGTTTTTACTTATTAGTTTTGGCAAAGGCAACTTAATGGTAAATAAATTCTAAAAAGTACTGCAATTTTTTTAGTACTGCTGATCATTCAGGTGAAATTTATTTTAGAGGATATACCGGGTGATTCAGTTTGATATTGGTGACCCCGTATCTCTTTTATTTTAACAAATCCTATATATGTATATTTAAATTGCCGCTCAAACTCTATCAAATGACATTATTAGATCGTCTCCATGGTAACATCTGTCAAAATTGCTGTAGTCAACTGTTTTTGTTCAAATGGCACACTATATATTTTTTTATCGATTCTGGAAGATATTTTTTTTCTGCGTTCAGCTATATAAGGAAGTCTATATTAGAAATATTGCTAGAAAAACAACAAACAAGATTAACCCTACTTTCAGTAGCTTTACTCAGAAAAATGATAGCCAGCTGCGGAAACAACTGAATTTTGACGTTTCTAAATAACGGTTTGTCAAAATAATTGACATTTTGTACCTACCTATTCTATCTATACTTATGATAACATGAATACTTACAGTAGTCAAGAAATACTAGATATTATTTTAATTTATGGAGAGCGGCGAAAGAACGCTAAAGCTGCCAGGTATTTATACCAACATCGTTTTCCGCAGAGACAACTTCCGTCAGATAAAATTTTCGGAAAATTAGATAGGAATTTGGCGGCAGATGAAAGTTTTCAAAAGAAGAGTTTTTAAACCCAGAAAGGCAAGAGATGAAGAACAGTTAATGAAGATGTTAAATGGCCTGCTAGATCTCCGGATCGCACTCCTACAGATTTCTTTCTTTGGCCTTACCTAAATGATATTGACGATCTTCGAAAGAGGAAGCCTTGTGTACTTTTAAATTATGTGTTTTTTTTAAAGAATAGATGGCATTACTACATAACCTCAAATATGACGAAAAACAGCACTTTTAGGTTAGGATATCTCAAAAACATACACTGCAATCTGAGAACTAGTATACAATCACAAAATGTTATGCAGAATAACTTCAAAACAACTTGCCAAAATTACATAATACAATAGTAGATCTTGAATTTAGACCTAATACCTTTAAACGCCATCTATAATTTTTAAAATAAGAAACCCATTTTTGCCGTGGCAATTTATTGTTTAATAAAAACCAGAATCGGAAGTGGAGTAAAAAATCTCGGTTTGCCGGCTAATTCGTACAGATTTCGATTTTCAGATACCGACGTATAAAGCTAATTTCTGGGGTGGTGTGAAAGGCAAACGAATTAACGCAATACGCTGGCTAAACGTTTATTACGTGGGGAATCAACAAACCTGTTGCGAGTTATCAATGATCAGTCAGTGGCTCGAAGTTTTCCCACGAGGCCCAGCGAGCACTACGGTCTAGCGCTACAGCTGGCCTACCGCAGTTCCCACGCCGCACGTATAACCCCTTAATTCATATTCACCTGCTACTCGGCTAGAATGCCGACCAATAAACGGGTACGGCCGGTATTACTATTAGGCCACGGTGCCCGATTTTATGAATGAAACTGTTTTGTTTTGATTAATTCTTACGGCATATGGAGACGGAGAAAGTTGGGCCACCCCGATTCACTTTTTTATTCGTTTTTTTACCTGAACGCCACCCCCTGAACTGGCGGAATAAGTCCTATGTTACAGTTAACGCGGTGCTTTTTCAAAAGTCAGGTAAAATTATTAGAACATTGATGACAACGTGCCTTTTTTATTCATTTACGTTGTTTCTCTTTTAATGCGAATAACATGACCTACCTTTGGCGTGGAGCATTTTCAGATGGTCCACGGTCATTTGTAAAATTTCGGCTTTTTCCAATTTGGCTGATCCTTGTTTCTCGAATGCACTGGGCACGAGACGTTTTAGCTCGCTCAAGGACATATTTATGCGGTCTCTGCGTTTCTTCTCGATCACACCCCTCCGTTTCTTCCTGGATAACATTTGGCAACTGTCCGCGTCACCTGGAGAAGTGCATCTGCAAGAGACAAAAGTTGACAATTTCGCACATCCTTACCACAGCACCAAGAAGTGAAATACAAGAACAGAATAGATAACTAAATTATTTCTTGCAATTTTTAACATTTCCTTAGGCATCATTGTTTTATTTATTTATTAATATTAATATTATTTATTAATAATTTAATCTTTTATTAAAAATTCTTTTAAAAAATCGCTACGGTTTCCAAATGGAATATGGTTTTTCCAGGTTGGCCATTTTACTTAATTAAATTTTTAATTATTATTTTAATAATCTAAGTGTCTGATAAAAGTATCAGTTAGATAAATCTATATCCTTCACTCACTAAGGCATACAGTGGTGTGTGAGACAGATACAAACTTAAAAGGACCCATTAATTCATTATATGAATTTTAATCGGTCCTTAATCATTTTATTCTGGTCTGGAGTGTATCTGGTCGTCTACCTCTTGTTTTCAATTGACAATCATTTTCAAGTTTGAGATTTTTAATAATGCAAAGCTATTTTCAGAAAAATAACCCTTGATTGATCCTTTTTATTAATTTTTTCCACGGGTTGAAAAAATACCTAATAAATAAAAGAAAAAAACGAAATCTGTGCAACAAATACATAACTTCGGACAATAAAAAAATGTCTTCTAATTTTTACATTTTGCAACGTGTGAAATATTTAAAAACATTTATAAAATAAACCTTTGTGGCAAAAGCGTTAGTCAATATTTATTTTGCCTAACCAAAAATCTCACCGAAAAAAGGGTAGACAAAAAATATGTCATACGTCAATTATAACAAGTGTGTTATATAGAGATTTTTGGTTACGGTACTTAAAAATGCGATGTCCTTACAGCAATAATTAAAAAAAATTAAATTGACGTATTAACAGTGTATTACAAGAAATAACTCAAATAAGGAAATGTCAAAACTGCTGTATGAACTGAATTCTTAGGAAGGTCCGGTATACTTACTGCTCTTTCGAGGACTCCTCCGAGTAAACGTCATCACAGTCACTCTCGGAGAGCGGCCTCTTGCTGCCCCTCGACACGGGCTGCCAAGAAGCGTTGCCCGGATTGCCCCCCGAGTACCCCCAGTGCAGAGGAGTGTTCTGGGACAGGGAATGATCCATATTGGAAATGGGTCACTGTCACTGGCACTTGCGGCGAAGATGAAGATCGGAAATGGGCGCGTGTCGAACGGCTGTCAGTCTGTGGACCGCGCGTGTACCACCGCCGATTGTAATGTTGAATGTGTCTTGCCCTGTTGATCAACCGACGGCCCTAGCGACGTCCAGACACGTTTTCTCCCCCACCACCATCCCCACCCGGTAGTGCGTGGCACACGCGACCTGTTTTACCCTCTTACTTGAATTTGTTACTCACCCCAATAGTGTATCTTTCTCTGGTGGTTTTCATTCATCCGATGGGTGATCGCTGGCTACCACGGGGCCAGCGCGTGTGTATACCCCGAAATCGGCGAATTTTTAGTTTTTCCCACATCACGGATACAGTCGAATATCTCTCGACCGATGCCAGAGGATTAATAAGAGGTTCTGCAAAATTGCAGGCGACCATGCGTGTGGTCGCTAATTAATTTTGCTTTATATCTAATGAATTACATAACTTTATTAAAAGACCCAATGATTTTTTAAATGCCGCTATCAACTTCTCACCCTGTAGTTATATTCTGAAAGGTACAGATCAATAAAGCATAATTTAAAATGAACACCCTGTTGCTATGGTCGAAATAAAGTATTTTTTATCATTATAGAATATCAAACTGTAGAAGACATTTGCTTTTACTAAACACAAACAGACGTTTAATGTTTTAAAACAGTCAGTTTCACTCTGTTGTCGGCACTTTGATCTCATTCCGACGTTTTCGGTGACCTTGAAAGAAGAAGCGCTAATCAGGGCCGTAATAGAACATTTACTTGTGCAGCAAAGCGTATTAAAATCTTCTTAAGTAGTTTATTCACTATTTGCCAGGTAGCAATATGTTATGTTATATATTATAGAGATTTTCAGAAGCATTTTAAGGTAATATGTTACGTGTATGATACGCCTGCGTAATAACCTTAACGAATTCTCAAGTAAAAGGTTCGAAATCTCTAATTGTATAATTACATTTTACGTCAAAATAATAAAAAAGTGTGTTAATTTTGATAAAATTCTAGAAAATTATTTTTGCACTTGAGATTAACGCTTGCAATTGTATTTTGTATTCGTAATAGACAAGCTTTTATTAATTTACATATTATTAACTTTGACCATATATTTTCTAAAAAAAATAGCATAATACATTTAAATTTGGTACAGGTAAGTTTTTGAGGATGCTAATGCCTCAGGTTAGTTAATTTTTCACCATCTGCTAGAGGTCGCTGGCTGTATGGTATTTCCGAAGTCAGTTTAACATGCAAAAAAAAACGCCTAGCAATAAAATTTAATGACTTTCATAAGGTCTCCTTGAAAATTTCTATTATATGTTCATTTGGTCAACAACATGTTTTAATTATTTATGTCCTCGAACAATTTTATTTATATTGATGGTAAATTTCGTTTTGTTCCGTTTGAAAAGGTCTCCAAAATGACATTTTGTAATAATATTATTTCTCCCTTTCGCAATTGTAATATCAATGATTAATATAAGCTGCCTATAATAAATTATATATACCTGAATCACACCAAATTCCGCATTGCTGCATTGCACTGCTGGGCAATTTGTCAACCACTTGTCAACAGCTGAGATTTATTGCCCAGTGGCCCAATCCAGCTATGTTTGTATTTCGTTTGCGCTCGCATTCTTCAACTAGGCGTATGCATTTCTACCACCTCCACGTTTATTTCGACCAGACCTGTATATGGTTATGGCTAAATAAATATGGGAACAAGTTTTTCAAATATTTCAATGCCGAGTTGCTGCGTCAGCGACCGAACCTGGAACATACCTCTTGGTTCTTCAATTGATATCGGAAAGACTATACCTAGTGACATTTTATGGCATTACTTTTTTTGAGGTTGGGATTTTTACGGTATATGTCGTGTATTATGATGCATAATTTCATTTTACATACAACCTTCTATTCTATTGCTTAATATAAAGGTTGTCCATAAACAACTGAGCCATCATTTAAGGGCAAATTTCTGAAATGAAAATAAACCGATTAAATCGTGTTGTTCCATTTTAATACTTGCTGTCTTTTGGGAACCTACCCTTGAAATATGATTCATTCGTTTCCGGATACCCTGTAGATCTTTTTAATGTATTATCAACCCTAAATTCTTTTTTAAAAACACCCTGTATATTACTCTAAAAAAGTATCTCAAATAAAAGTCGCGTCAAATCAGTTTCTCCATATTTTAAAATTAATTTGGATTGTACGGGGTGTCCAATTTCTTCTGAGCATTACTTAATTTTCTCAAACGGAAAACCCAGTATTTTTTAATTTCTCGTTGAATTCAAGGCCTACCTTGATAAAATTTGACGTAAATAAAAACATTTGCGGCAATATTGCAATATTTTACGACAGTTTTCGAAAAAAAAAAATTTTTAATGTTTCGACCTCCACATATGCAATATCTGATCTTAACATAATTTTTGCAATTTCTTGGATATTTCTTCAAGATCACGTTACCCAGCTGGCAATCTCCGATTTCGGCATAAAATTTAAAAAACCTCTAAAACCGATAAATATTCTCTATAATCCCATTCCTTCATTAAATCAAAACACCACTCAGAATAATGTAACTCGAGGGGGTGTGGGAACAAACTTTTCCTTTTTTTTTACCTGTAAAGGGCAGGTCTTACCCCTTTTTTTAACATTCTTTTCCCTCTACGTGGGCCCACATCACACTGAAATATTATACATAAAATATATTTACCGTAAATTATAGCAATAAGTTTTTTACAGATGGGTAGGTGGTTGTTAACGGTACAAAAACACGGAAACGCATCACTTTTATGCACAAAAGGATAACGGGAAAATATCATACATAAGTGTACTGTTATAAATACATACAGATTCGTTTTCAAAGGAAGCAGATGAGGGTTTGCTATTTTAGAGCCTTTATAGTACTTAATTTTTTTATACCTATAGATAATCTTTTTCTTGCAAGGTAATTATTTCATTAAAAAGAATAAGTATGACAAAAAAATTTCGCTTTTTCTAGCATAAATACAGGAAATTGTCAGAGGAAGACTTGCCACAAATATATAATTACAGACAATAGAAATAATGGTAGACCGAGGTTTCTAGAAATGTATTACATATTTTTAATAATTTTTGTGCCATAAGTCTTTAGCTGGAACTTATTTGCCAATCCGGATGCATACTTCGAAATATTTTTGACTCGAACGGAGAAGTGATTAGCAATTTAGGTGGGGTGGTTCTTCGCAGCGTGGAAGGGGAAAGTTGTAAGGGTATCGTGGGAAACACACTTTTCTGGTCGTCACACCGCCAGCCACGCGCCTGGCCTAGCTTATAACAAAAATGCATTGTGCCTTACTATCGGGGTTTACGTCTAAACAAAACCTCACCCATATATAATTGTTGCGAGGATGCTTATAAAGGAAGGAATTCGGTCCTTTCGCGTGTCTACGTGTGTCCAATTAAGTCTTCATAACTTATTGCAAAATTAGAATTTTTTGATTAAATACCTTACAAACACATATTTCTATATTTTCAACCTATTTTAAAATTGTTTACCTTTGAATACCATTTTATTTCTCTAAAAAGCCGTTCACATCTACTACACCTTAGTGCGACATCTAATAATAGACATAAGTGGAAGTAATTATTCGAGTATCTAAAAATACTTGACAAAACGCTTAATTTTAAATAAACCTTTGTGTTATTGCAATAGTACTGGGATAAATATCGCGTCCACGGTAAATGTAACGTCGTCCATTATATTTTGTAATAATTGTGTGGCACCGTTGAAGAAAACAAATTAAAATTTATGATAAAAACTCGTCTACATGCAAATTTGTGAAAATGAACGTGCCATTCAAAATTCTTTACGTAAGCATATTTTGTGTACTATTTATAGCGAAGCAACAGTAATTAAGGCGGTAAAAAAAAATGAATTTAATTACTTGTCAACAAACTTAACCGCATTACCATTTTTTTGAGTCATTCAGTTACTATTAAAGTTATTGTTTTAGATATGATCGGACTCTATCGGTGATTTTCGGTCAGCCTTCGACTTCGACGGCACAACGGTTCTGTCAGTCCCTCGTGTTAAAAATACTCCAGAAAAAAGAGAAAATTTTATATGGTGGTGTGGTCTTTTTCAAATTAACCCCGTCACCAAAATGTCGGGTGACGTCCAGCCGAGGAAAAGAAAAGACAAAAAGAGAAGAAAAGGTATTTTCTATAACATTAAATATTTATTTTTAGCAGCGCTATTCCACATAAGTACGTCGAATGCTATTTTTAATGCGTGCTGTGCGAGAAAACCGATTAAATATTTTAATTATTTGTGGGAACCTTCCCCGTGACTTTTTTAGACGAAGGAGAACAGATACCCATCCAAACCCATGCTCCCTTACACACGAATTCGTCGAACGACGATGTTAACATCCACGTGCACAAAGAAAGTGGCACAGGGGGTGGAATTTGTGCCAAACTAGTATTTTTTGTGCTGCTATCAGCACTTGCTGTAGTCATTGGTATGATTATTACACAATATCGAGGACTCACAGACGGTAAGTTCCACAAATATCTTTAATTCGCACCAAAATCCCCGCATTCAAAAATTAAACACACTTTCAAAAACCGCAGTATACAGGGTGATTCAGTCATAATGTCATTCATTTTAACCACGTATTCGGAGCGCGTTCGACCGTTGAAGCGAAACAGCCGATTTCGCCAATCGTCTTCAATTTTGCAATTGGTTTAAAAATTAAAGTGCAGCAGATCCCAACTTTATTAACAAAGTGCTATGGACGGATCAGTGTTGCTTTAATCATACTGGCATTTTAAATAGGTAGGTACCATACTACTCTTTGAAAAGCAATACGTCACTAGGTATACGTACTACAAACAGAATAATGAATTGAACGTAATACTAAAAACTCATATTCAATTATAAAGTGTAGTGAAAACGTTAACAATATTAAAAATACTAAATTGTAATAACCTAACATTCGAAAACAATTATTAACTTTATACATTTGTTTTTATTAACAAATAAATAATAATTGTTAATATTTAAAATGTAAAAAATATCTTATTCATTCATGCTAGGTAAAAAGATGTTTTTTCCTCGTCGTTCAGTACGAATTGAAAGCACAGTAAAAACTAAGTTAGGTCAAGATAAACTGAGATTAGGTCTCTATAAACCTTTGTGGGACAGTAGTCAGGAGCGGTCCGAAAAAGGGGTTTAAATAATGATTTGATTTTTTTTTTTTTTTCAGTGTCAATATACATTTTTTATTTTATTTATTCATCTTCTCATTTTTCCCTATATTCCATTAAAATTAATGACATTATGACCGAATCGCCCTGTATAGTACTAACGGAATTATATATATCCAATTGTGTTTTTGGGTTCAATGAAAATAAGTATGTACAAGCAATCGTTTACATTTTTCTAGTTGAAACCGTAGACACAGAATCAAGGTTTTCACAAATATTTGAAGGTTGGATAGATTCTAGCCCTGATCATCACGATGATCATGATATAGAAGAGGCCTTAGATCAAGAACTAGATCACGACGAAGAGAACGATGAACACAATGCTTCAGAGGACGACGATGAAGAAGATGAAGAACATGAACCAAGCGAGGAGGAAGATGACGAAGAAAGCAATGAAGATACTGAAGTATCTGAGGAAATGAATGAAGTCGATGAAGATGACGATGACAACCTCGATGAAGATGAGGAAGAAGCTGTGGAAGAATCAGAAGAAAATCAGTTAGACGATGACGAAGAAGATGAAGATGTACAAGCATCTGAAGAAGAAGGAGATAAATCAGAGGAAAAAGATGACGATGAAGATGAAGAAGACGAAGACGACGATGAACAGGATCATGATGAAGACGAACAAGAATTAGAAAATATTGAAAGTGATGAGGATAAAGATGAGGATAATGTTGATGAAGTATCTACCGAGAGAAAGTCCGGAGAAGACAATGAAGACCAACAGGCTGATGATGATGAAGATGAGGATGATGCAAAAACTCAAAAAGTGGGACATATTTATATTAATAAGCATGTTTTACTAACGTTTGTTGATGAAATTTTAAATAATGTTCTTAATGCATGGATATTGGAACTTCACTGATGATCCTCAATGTTTTATAGATCTCTATTCTAATATTACAGACACCTGATACAGCTAAAAGGGTCAGTACAGACATTGCAGACGATGACACACCAAGCAAGGAAAAACAACAAGAAAGTTCAGGCAGTAAGTCGTTTTTGTATAATTATTAATATTAAATGAGACTATTTGTATACTCCTTTAAATTATAAAACTGTTTAAATTTGTGCCCTTCTGGTGTATGAAGACAAGAGTATAAAATTGTAATATTAAGTTTTTATTGAAAACATAATGGGATATTTTGGTTAATGTAGAAAGAATTTATCGTTAAAATTACTTACAGTTAGAATTAAGAATGAGATAAGATTCAGTAGGCAATATTCGTATTTAGTGTTTACAAACACGTATTTGTAAATCAGGAAATGCAAATTTTTATAGCTGCTGAATTTTGCAGTGGCAGTCAAACTCGGTGTTGGCGTAGCCCTATTGGTGGTAGCACACCTTGTTTTGGTTAGAAAATGGAGGACTGGTCAGTAAATGCATGTGATTGATGTTTCATTCTCGTAAAAAAATATATTTCTAATAAGTTAATAAATGTTGTAAATATATGCCTCTGCTTACTATGCAACTAACACCTGCATTTCCTGGTACGTTGTTATTTGTACTGCTTTCAATGTAGTTTTGCTATCGTCTCACCATTTTTATTTTAAGTGTCCAATTCAGTTAAAACTAAAACTAAATCTTAAAGATAGTTAAATATTAGCAAATATTTCACAAGAATAAAAATGGAATAGGTATAGCTTCATACAAATATTATTCACAGACTTATGAAACTTATATGGAGAGATAGCGAAAGAATAATCGACTTATACATGTATTATTTGTTTTTCTTTAAAATTTGAAGCTCCAGATGATAAACCAAAACCTCCCAAGGAAGAGCCCACTGAACCAGCTCCAAATCTGAATCGAAGAAATACCATTGTTATGCCTCCAACTTTCCAAGAAGTGGAACCAGATATGGAACCAGAAGAAGAAGGTACTTACTTTTCCGTAGAGTTTTTTGTATAGAGATAAAAAAAGGCAATTAGAATTTTGCATTAATTTTTATGAAATGTTCCATAATACTATCAGATTATTCGGAAGAAGAAGAACTAAGCGAAGAGGAAGTCCATGAAATCAAATCGGCTAAGGCAAGATACCAAGAACTTAGATCGACATACACACGTTCCCTAACCCCTGAGGGTGAAATTGACTATCACAAGCCGCCAGAAACTTACGATGACGAATACGAGGAAAATGTGGACGATGAAGAAGACGAGGAAGTTAGTGAAGAAGAGGAAGACGACGATAAACAGGAGGGCGAATCCGAAGAGGAAGAGGACGACTACGATGAAGATGAAGACGAGGAATTGCTCAAACGACTAGAAGCCAAGTACGGAAAATTACGGCAAGGTGATAAAATAACGTACATTTAAATACTCTAGCTTTAGTATATTTTATTAAATTCTTAATACATTAACCAGAATAAACTAAATTTTTGGAAACAAGTCAACGAAATATTTCATATTGTTCTGCTCTACAGGATATTTTTCAGGGAAAATAATAACTATACAAGTAGTACTGAAAATGTTGAAATTTTATCTGGTATGTTTTGATAATTTGTTACGTGAATGTAGGTACTGCCGAAAGACAAGCAGATGTTGAAAATTCAGATTCCGAAAAATCTGATGACGGCACTGGATATCAATTTTCAAATATAACAAATAAAGATGATTACAAAATTAAGAGCAAGATAGATGAGGCTCAAAAATCAGTACAAGATGTAAGTTAAAGCTATATGTTACAACTTAATAATAATAATTATGAATATTTTATTAGGAATAATTTTAAAAAATCCTTTCCTACAAAACAACTGTTCATTAGCTTATACCCTGATTGTTGATTTATTAATATTGTTGATTTTGTTTTTCTCGAAGTAGCCTTTGAGCAGCTATGTTTTATTTTTTTCAGTGTATTAATTGGAATGTTGACTTAATCCCTACATGTGCGTGTTTTCTTAATACTTTTTAAAATGTTCTGATACAATATTCCATTAGTTTAATATTTGTTTTGGTTAATCACCAGCTTTTATTAATTTTCCGCACCACGATTAATAAAAGTTGAGTGATTTCCGCACATTTTTATCAATTTTTGATAATATACTAACAAACTACCATACCATTTAAGACTGTTTTGTGTTAATAACTATGTTTTGTTTGTTTTCTTTTTGTAACCATCAGAATTCAGCTTACGCTATTGAGCTTTTCGATAAAATCCTGCAAAAATACCCCTCCTCCCCTAGAAGCATTTACGGAAAAGCATTATCTCTGGACTATTTGGCTGACCAAAGAAGAAGCAATGATATTTTACAGCAAGCGCTAAAGTTTTATATGCAACTTCTTAATACGGAACACGTGCCAAAGGCATTATTTGAGGTGGCAGCTGAACGTTGCATCAACCGGATGAGATTTGTAGGTAATAACGTTTTGAGATATTTTAATAAATAAACATTATTTTGTGGGTTATCTTCCAGGACAATACAGAAATGCTATTAACGTGCACAAACTACTCGTACATAAATTTCCTGATAACCCCAAGCACTCTAATAATCTGGCTGTTACTTATTTAACAATTAACAGGTTAGTATATCCCGAATATTACTTTTTATAGACTTTCATTCATGCTAGCAATCCATAAACATCATTTACTCTCAATACACAATTTTTTGTTCAATACGCCTTTAAAAAATAAAACACGTGTGTATATTCAGTTAGCACCGTATTAAAATAAATTGCGGTTTTAGAGTGGAAGAAGCAAGATCTGTTCTTAAAAAAATTCTTGAAAAATGGCCCAATGACGGATTAGCATTAGTACACTACGGTTTTATATTAAAAACTGTGGATAATAAATTAGAAGGAGCTGTAGACTATTTAAGAAGAGGCCTTGAAACTAGAGCCGAGGGCGTTATAGATGGCAGGTTTTACTTTCATTTAGGGGATGCCCTAGCTCGTTTAGGGCAGCACGAAGAAGCTATGAAGGTATTTTCATTATATTTTTCACCAACAAAAACATTTAGACAAAAAAATTTTAGGTGTATGAAGAAGGCGTTGAAAACAACGTTTTCCTGTCAAAATACCAAAGATCTCTATACAACGTGCCAAGACTGACCGGTAAGCCATGGTGGGACCTAACCGACTTGCCATACCTAGACTTATACCGTCTTCTAAAACAAAACTGGCAAAAAATCCGCGACGAAGGCTTAGCTGTCTTAAACGAAAAAGGTTACTTCCAAGACGAATCGGAAAACCTTAAGGATACGGGAGACTGGAAACAATTTGAGTTGTTCGCCAGGGGTCAGAAGAACTTGAAAAACTGCATGGTATGCCCTTTCACGTGTAGCATCATCGAGCGTGTACCGGAAGCTAGGAGTTGTAAAAGAGGGCAAACAAAATTCAGCGTGATGCATCCTGGAACACACGTTTGGCCTCACTGCGGACCAACTAATTGCAGGCTAAGGGCGCATTTGGGGCTTAAAGTGCCTCCAAAGACTTTCATAAGGGTTGCCGATGACACAAGGTATAGCGCTAATATAGTTGGTTATTGTAAAAATTTACATAAAATATATAGGTTGTCTCTGTAAAGATCAGACTGGAAGTTTATAGGAATCAAAACCAAAAATATACTCTAAGAATGTAATAAAATGGACTATTCTTGGCTCGAGCTGTTCAAGTTTTCGAGAAAACTGAAAAAAAAAATGATCTTTTTCATTTTTACGAAGTCTATGAAAACTAGATTTTTGTTTTAATGCCTTGGTTTCAACAAACCGTCATCATTTCTTTTGCAACTCTTCTCCTTGTAGTTTTCCTGCAGTTATTGAATTTTTTGTACTTGTGATCCACTATTAAAATGTTTTAAAAAATGCTCTTAAGTATCATATAAAATCATTAAATATTCTAATTACATATAAATCTTGTAAAAAATACGTTTTTGACAACCACTTCTAAATTATTTATTGAAACTCAAAATATAGATTAGCCAATCAGTTGCTATAATCTCAGTGATCTCCTGTCGCCATAATTTGGAAGCACCCTGTATACAAGATTTCAGTGTGCATAGTTTTGTATAATTTATCTTGATTTATCCAGTTCTACCTATCTTCGAATTTATATTAATCGAAGTCTCATTCAGTAGTTAATTAACCTTAGTATTGTTTCATTGTGCGTCATGATTAAAGCTTGTAATACCTGTTTTCGTCATTTCTAGGAGTTGGGAAGAAGGAGGAATATTCGTATTCGACGATAGCTTCGAACATGAGGTTTGGCACAACGGAACGGAGTTCAGATTAGTTTTAATTGTTGACGTTTGGCACCCTGAGCTAACAACGGCCGAGAGAAGGAATCTCTCGCCCATTTAAAACATAAGAAAATATGACTGTTTTTGATTTTCTCTTAAAAAAAATGTTTAAAAGTGTAAATAAAACATAAAAAGCAATAAAAAACTATACTGTACTAGCATTATTTTCCAAATAAAAACTTAACCTATACTTAACTTCCGAACAAAATCAGAACATCTGAACATAGAACCTTTTGTCACCGATTTTGAAAATGTGTAGATGAAAGAAGCTTGACTATTTTTTAAGTCGGTAATCAAGAAATGTATAAATTATATGTCCTATATATTATTCTTACTATTATTATGTCAATGATTAAAATTACAACTTACAACTAATATGTAACGATTGTTGAAAATTATTCGTGGCAGTCACACACTAACCACTAACACGTACACGCACTAAAAAGTTACAGAACAAAATTTCTAAAATTGAAAGAATAAATTGATAAACCTAAAAAACTGTTAATGTTTCCCATTCTCAAGTTTAAAACAAAAGACTGCCGTTGATTGACGGAGTGAATCAAAAGATATACTGTACTGTAATATACAGATTGAGGAAGTAAAATTATTTAAGCACATTTAAATATATTTTATATGAAAATATATACAATCCAAGTCTATGCTCAAATTAAGTGTGTATTTGAATTTAGGTTGGAGCCAAGCATTTTTATCAATGGAATGCTCAATCTCCAACTTGTAGAGTACGAGTATTAATTGATATTTTTATATTTAAACTTTTACAGTTGTTTTAAATTCACTAACAGTCATAATTTATTCTATATAAAATATAATTTGTTTGGTTTAGCAAACGTCATTGGTGTAAGACATGCCAACAAGTTTTATAGATTGACCAATGAGATTACAATATTTGTAAGCGGAGATCCAAATCTTTATAACTATGACGATAAGTATGTGTTCGAACTACTGGCACTCATATATTTAGAAGGAATGTAGTGGTGCCATCTGTCAAGGTATAGATTAACCTCTCGAATCAATATCTAGAGTCAAAGAAAAAATCATTTTATTGTAGCCTTATTGTAGATATAAATATATCGTTGACGCATAGAAACCTTGTCGCCGACCTACCCCTAAATCAATCCAATTACAGATTCTTCGTTTCCTACATATGTAAAGTTTTGTGCGGAAATTATAGATGGCGCGTTAATCTCTTTGTCTCTAATTTATAAAAAATAAAAGAATAAACTTATCAACGAGTAGTACAATCTCTACCTGTATAGTCTTTCCGAAGTCAGTTGAACATGTATAAAAACGCCTAGCAATAAAATTTAATGAGTTTCATAGGCGTCCCCAAAAGAGTTTTCTACTAAAGGTAAAAAATTATAATAATTTGTATATAATGTGTAGAAAACTTCAAAACTTCTATATGTTCATTTGACCAACATATTTTAATTGTTTATGTCCTCAAACAATTTTATTATATTGATGGTAAATTTCGTTTTGTTCCGTTTCAAAAAGTCTCCAAAATGCCATGTTATAATAATATTAGCAAACAAAATATCCCTCTTATTTCTCCCTTTCGCAATTGTAATATGAAATGATTAATAGAAGGTGCCTATAATAAATTAAAATTACCTGAAACACACCAAATTCCGCATTGCTGCACTGCACTGCTGGGCAATTTGTAAACCACTTGTCAACAACTGATATTTATTGCCCAGTCGCCCAGTGCAGCTGTGTTATACACCGTTTGCCCGCGTGCACATTCTTCAACTGGGCGTATACATTTCTACCACCTCCACGTTTAGCTCGTCCACCCCTGTATATGGGTGTGGTATGGTTAAATAAATATGGGAACAAGTTTTTCAAATATTTCAATGCAGAGTTGCTGCGTCAACGACCGAACCTGGTACATACTGCCAATCTCTTGGTTCTTCAGTTGAGATCGGAAAGACTATACCTGTGTTTTTTTTTGAGGGGTAAGACGAACTTTTACATTTTAAAAGTTATTATTGGAATTTGTGCTAAATGCAGGACGTCATTTCTTTGCTATGCGAACAAAATTTTATGGATGTATTTCTGAGACGAATTCAAAGGTTTTGATATTTTTTCATCTCTATATTAATTATTATTTTGCATTATAATATTGATTGCGTTTTTAAAGATGATTTGTTAAACCTTCTGTTATATAATCACATTTTTTTTTCAGAAATTTGAAAATAAATATACATGTAAATTGAATTGTTTCATGAAACTTGAATTAAATACGGGACATTTTTTGTTTAATGATCACTAGGGGTTGTATTCTGTTATTTTCTTAGATAAAAAAATATCACAAGATAAAGCATAACTTTTACAGAACCATTTATGTGACATTTTAAGTAAATCTGATCAATACTTTTTGCTATATTATTAACGACAGTTAAAAAAAAATTGTAAAACTTGAAGATCACTTGTGGTCACTATACTATGTTACAGTTGGTATACAGAATCCAGAATCCACCGCTGAATGAGAAGTAAAGAAGTCAAGAGAAGATCAAATAAAGAAGTAAAAAACCCAGAAGAGGAACCCCAAGCAAGCATAGCATCAGAAAAAGCCGATACCATCGAAAGAAAAGTGGACAGAGGAGGTTTATGGTCAGATAACATAAATATTACTTCAAACACTTTTTAATTTTTAAATAACTTGTTTTGATACATAATCATAACAAACATTTGAAATACGTGAATGTGAACAAGAAACCTACTTTGCGTTTGCGACTGTGCCTACTGAAGTCTGGAGCCAGTCAAAGAGTCTAAATCTTTTACTAGTTTGTGAATCTGTAGGTCGATTCATTTATCTATGGGGAAGTTTTATTTTCCCAAATAGAACAGATCTAAACTTCGTCTGTAATTGCCGTAGTTTACAAATTAAGTGTAGAAAACGGTTTATGCAATATTTTAATTTTATAAGTTCCAAGTGGCCCTCTCGTACCAATTTCTAGAACTAGAGTAGTGAACTGGTAACTGTTAACAAGTGTTCCATGTTTCATGAGGGAGAGAGAGAGAGATATATATACACACGGTCGTTGACTGTTGACGTTGATATGTATTGATGTATTGTTGTGAATACATATGAACATATGTGCCTACCGAGAAATGAGATACATTATTTCTTATAACATCTGTGAATTTAATCGCCTATCTTAAAATTTTGAAAATATCATCCCCATCAGATTTATGATTTGGTACTGGTATTGGTAAATAGATCCACGACAGAAAAGGAAAGAACTATATGATATTGCACCACTGAATTATAGGCAGTGTATTGCACACACAATCTCACAAACGACAAACGAGTTTATTACATTGATCATTATTACCTTTTTATAATGACGTGTGAGTGACGGTCAACACAATATTGCTTCGTATACGATTAATCAACATAATTAAATCGACACGTTATTAAAAACTGAATTTCTTGAGTAGGTGTTAATTTGTGCAAATTGTATGGATAATGATATCAGAATAACATCTGCGTAGCAACTCACACAACATAACATGTCAATAAGCGAAGATTTTGTTGCAAACATCTCGGTTTTCAACGATACCTGCCTTACCACTAGAAGAGCTAACAAAACAGTTATAAGTAATCTGTATGAGGGGATACCAGAAACATTAATCCTAAACGTTGTATCCTGGTTGGTTCTTGTACTACTGTTTGCTATTTTAAGAAACCGTGCCTGGGACTATGGTAGGCTAGCGTTAGTGCACACAGAGAAATGGACACAACTTTTTTACAAGAACACCGATGATGCTGTTGCCGTAGAAGAATCTAGCCAGGATGTTTCTTTGATACCCGATACCGGTTGTTTGTGGTTTCCATCAATTTTCAAAATAAGTAGAGATCGTATCTACACACGATGTGGCCCAGATGCTTCGCACTACCTGTCATTTCAACTTCAACTACTGCTTTTAATGACTGCTATAACAGTGTTTTCTATTTGTGTAATTCTGCCAATTAATTTCCAAGGAACGTTACAAGGCGATAAAACAACATTTGGTCATACAACAATAAGTAATCTGATGTCAGATTCGAAGTGGTTATGGGTACACATCGCAGGATCTATGTGTGTTGTACCAGTGGCTATATTAATAATGAGGAAGTGTTCTGGAAGAATGGCTAGTTCAACTATATTAGCTTCAAGAACACTTTTGGTCACCAACATTTCTAAAAATCATAGAAATACTGAGGATATTAAAAATTACTTTATTGTACGTTACCCTGGAATTGAGGTATGTGATGTCAAAATAGCTCATAGAATAAAAACTCTGACAAATTTGGAAAAACAACGTGAAAGAGCCCATGAAGCTAGAATGTATTGTTTGAGTAACATTCAAAAAAATGAAATTAAAGTGCAGCCATATGGATGCATTGCTTGCTGTCGTTGTAAGACCGTAAATGCTCTTGAGTATTATACAAGAGAAGAAGAGCGTTTAAATGACTTAGTTACTGCCGAAAGAGCAAGAGCGTTACAAAGTCCACTTGGTATCGCTTTTGTTACTTTAAATTCTGAAGAAATGGCACAACATGTGATCATGTCTTTCCAACCAGGTTCACACCGAAATTGGGTAATTTCAAAAGCACCTTCTCCCTCAGATATTAACTGGGAAAATTTAGAAATATCTTACCGAAACTGGTATTCCAAAGCAATAATCATAAATACACTACTATTTGTAATACTATTTTTTTTAACAACTCCAGTAATTATTGTTAATATTTTCAATAATCTCATAGCACCAGATAAATTTATTAAGAAAGTAAGTCCTGTGGTGTCTGAATTTTTACCAACTTTGCTCTTGTTGTCAATGTCTGCCGTAATGCCTGTTATTGTAGCTTACACTGATGAATGGATGTCCCACTGGACCAAATCTAAACAAAACCATGCTACAATGTACAAAACTTTTATCTTTTTACTCTTTATGGTATTAATTTTACCGTCTCTAGGTTTAACCAGTGCTCAAGCTTTTTTTAAACCCGATAATATTACTTTACGTTGGGAGTGCATTTTCCTAGCAGATAAGGGTGCTTTCTTTGTCAATTATGTTATAACTTCAGCTTTAATTGGTACTGCCTTGGAGCTTCTCCGATTTCCTGAACTAGCAATGTACGCTTGGCGTTTGCTGCATATAAAGTCAGAAGCTGAAAAAACAACGATTCGTAAAGAAATTTTATCAGAATTTCCGTTTGGCATACATTATGCTTGGACTTTACTGATTTTTACCGTCAGTACAGTTTATAGCTTAACTTGTCCTCTGATAACACCTTTTGGTTTACTGTATTTGTGTTTAAAGCATTTAGTTGATAAATATAATATATATTATGTGTACCGACCTATAACTATGTCTGGAGAAGGTCAGCAGATTCACGGTGATGCCGTGGTTATGGTACGAATAGCTATTCTCTTACTACAACTTATCACTGCTGTATTTTTCTTCTTAAGAGCAAAACTGAATCTGATGACTTGCATAGCCTTTCTAGGTTTTACTGTTACGAGTTGCTTTTTCTTTTTCTTGGGGCCATTTCCTTCATGTAAGCCAATTGTTTTAAACACTTCTCACTTGCCAGATACTAATGAACAGTATGTAGCTCCTGTTTTAATTAGTTCAAGTACTCTTGATCACATTGAGTATGATAGATCATCACCTTCCATGTATGGTACTTCTAATATTAGTGAAAATGTTATTCGAATTTCTCCTGAAATTGGTTCAAGTAATGCCTAAATTCCTCTATAGCTTTCCTTTGTGGCTGTGACTAATTTTAACATATAGTAATGAGATTATCACACTTCTGATAATTACAGAATTTTACTTAACATGTATTTTGTACAATATTTTTTGATTAACAATGTTTAATGATATTATAGGTATGTCGTTAAGCAATACCCAAAAAAATAACTGTACCGCTCTATATATTTGGGCTCTGGAAAAGGTAGTATTATATGTAGTATTATTTTCAAAAAAAATTTTCATGCTAATAAAATCTCTACCTAACAATAATTTGTATATCTTCGAATTATATTCTTAGGGAAAGTTATAAAAATACAAAAAAAAAAAATAGTGTGAAATTCTTTGCAAAAAAATAATGTTAACAATGTGATACTGTTTACTAATTTTTGTAACAAAAACGACCTAGAAACAAGATATTGTTAAATTATTTATTGTGAGTTGCTTTGTTTTTTGTAATGTTTTATTGGTTTCTAGTTTATATTAATTTTAAAATCTGTCATCTTACATTAAAAATTATCAATCTAAACACAGTTTTGTAAAATTTCCTATAAATATATGTTTATGTCATAGAAATTTATAGTGTCACTTATTTGTTGGTATAAAACTTAATAGACCATAAAATAGGTAACCAATGGAATATTTAAGCATTATAGAACATTTTTAATATTCATGTAAAGATTAAGGTGCTGGCATTCTAATGTGTGATCTGGTTCTATATTTTTTTAGGTGAATAATTAGATACATATTTAACATAAAAGACAAAAAATGTATATATTCCTATATGTTTAATAAAAATCCCCCGAGTTATATATGTACTCAGTTTTTGATAGGCAGCAAATAAACGTAAAGTGTAATATTGATTATACTATAAATATTTAGCAAAAAGTTCCTTATTTTAAAAAATTATTGGACACTAGTTAATTTATGTATATAATTAATAAACATGTAACAATAAAATATATTTTTGTTTTAAATATTTTGATTCATTTTCCATTACTATTGGTACAAGGGAAAAGTGAAAATAAACCGGACATATAATTTCTATTTTCTCTTTTCTAGAAAAAGATATTGTTCGATCAAATTTAAAACGTGAATTATTTATCTGGATCTTTAGAAAAACGGAAACAATCTATATCCAATCTAAAATAAAGATTAAAGATACAGTTTATAATATCTAAATTCATTTTATGACATACTAAAACAAATCTTTTTATGACCAAGATAAATTTCTGTTTATAATTATTCATATAACGACTAAATTGATTAAGGAATTATGACTACTTAATCTAAGCATTGTGAATATTTACTTATAACATAATTGCTGATTATTATTAAAAAAATATGTCCAAAGTTTAGAATGAGTAATCTGGTGAGCAAAATACATTGAAATAAAGATAAATAAGATTACAATATTTACTAATATAATCTCTTATTACTGGAAATACAACTACCATATACTATCATTGAATACAATGAAAGGCTTGTTTCTGCTGCAAAACATTCTACTTGAAATATAAAACTGTTTCAATATGTTAATTAAGAGTTAATTTTAATTTAAAAAAATATGTTTTGTTTTCTTAATTATACCTGGTTTTTAACTGAAGTTTAAATTAACTTTTTTGTAATACACTAATGCAAACAATTAAAGGGTTAAAAGAATTTCCGAAAATTTTCCGTGATTTTTGACAGACCGTATTTAGGTGATTTTATCGGGAATTAAAAATAATTTGGAAGCTCTAAGATTCTAGTTTTTAAATCTTTCGGTCGAAATTTTTAGGAGGTACGGTTATCATGCAATTCTAAGAAATAGTGTGACAAAAAATTTTGCAAATTTTCTTTTTTTTTCCGTCCACGAACTTGGAAAAATTTTTTCAACTAAGCCATTACATGGACCAGATAGCTTGGTTATGCAACTTCAATTTCCTTTTTTTTTTTTAAATTTCGATACGACCATTTTTCATCGAAATATCGTACTTTTAATTGAAAAGGATCCTTTTTTCTTCAATCATCGATATTTCAGCGATAAATGGTCGTACAGAGAATTGAAGGGCAGTTTCGAAAACTGGAATAAATTTCCTATAACATGCTGTCGCAACTTTTCGGAAAAATTTTTTTTGTGTCACACGAACTTTAAAAAACAGGAAAAAAGATAATTTATGGTTTTTTAGAAAATTGACGGCTAAATTAGAAATATACACGAAATCATTAATATTAAGCGACTTTTACAGTTCGATATACCTAGAAAGAACCCTGTGAAGTTTAATTTCGATCTAGGGAACCGTTTCTTTGTATCAAACTGTCGAACTTTTGAAAAAAATTAAAGGGTAACGTATTTTGAGCTTAAACACTTAAAAATTTTTTTATTGATAAAACAAAAAAAAATCGAAAAAATTTTTGAAATTTTTTTTTTTTTGTTTTTTTGAAAAACCTGGAGATTGAAGAGAACAAAATCCAATTGTTTCCAGCATGATTCATACCATTTTTTGAGATAAATTTCTAATCAATTTTTGTACTGTCCGCAATCACTTAAAAACAGTTTTTTTTCAAAACCACCCTTTCTTCTGAAAAAAAAATTCATTTTTTTTTTCATCAGTTTAAACGTTATTTGCGGTAAAAATGTGAGAAAACCTGAAAAACATTTTTTTTTCCATTTTAATCATGATTATGAAGTTTTTAAGCTCAAAAAACGTGACCCTTTCATTTTTTTCAAAAGTTTGACTGCTTGAAACAAAGAAACGGTTTGCTAGATCGAGATGAAACTTCACAGTTCCTCTGGGTATATCGAACTGTAAAAGTCATGCTTAAGATTAGTCATTTCGTGACTATTCTTTTTTTCCCGTTTTTTAAAATTCGTGTAAAAGATGAAAAAAAAAAAAATTCCAAAAAGTTGCGGCAGCATGTCATAGGAATTATTCCAGTGTTCGAAACCGCCTTTAATTCTCTGTACGCCCATTTGTGGTCGAGATATCGATGATTGAAGACAAAAGGATCCTTTTCCATTAAAGTCCGATTTTTCGATGAAAAAGCTATATCCGGTCCGTGGCTTAGCTGAAAAAATTTTTTCTAAATCCGTAGACCGGCAAAATTTTTTTGTCACGCTATTTCTTAAAATTGCATGATAACTGTAGCTCCTAAAAAATTTGAACGGAAAGATCTAAAAACTAGAATCTTAGAGCTTCAAAATGCTTTTTTGAATTTCCGATACGACCATTTTTCATCGAAATATCGTACTTTTAATTGAAAAGGATCCTTTTTTCTTCAATCATCGATATCTCAGCGATAAATGGTCGTACAGAGAATTGAAGGGCAGTTTCGAAAACTGGAATAAATTTCCTATAACATGCTGTCGCAACTTTTCGGAAAAATTTTTTTTGTGTCACACGAACTTTAAAAAACAGGAAAAAAGATAATTTATGGTTTTTTAGAAAATTGACGGCTAAATTAGAAATATACACGAAATCATTAATATTAAGCGACTTTTACAGTTCGATATACCTAGAAAGAACCCTGTGAAGTTTAATTTCGATCTAGGGAACCGTTTCTTTGTATCAAACTGTCGAACTTTTGAAAAAAATTAAAGGGTAACGTATTTTGAGCTTAAACACTTAAAAATTTTTTTATTGATAAAACAAAAAAAAATCGAAAAAATTTTTGAAATTTTTTTTTTTTTGTTTTTTTGAAAAACCTGGAGATTGAAGAGAACAAAATCCAATTGTTTCCAGCATGATTCATACCATTTTTTGAGATAAATTTCTAATCAATTTTTGTACTGTCCGCAATCACTTAGAAACAGTTTTTTTTCAAAACCACCCTTTTTCTTCTGAAAAAAAAATTCATTTTTTTTTTTCATCAGTTTAAACGTTATTTGCGGTAAAAATGTGAGAAAACCTGAAAAACATTTTTTTTTCCATTTTAATCATGATTATGAAGTTTTTAAGCTCAAAAAACGTGACCCTTTCATTTTTTTCAAAAGTTTGACTGCTTGAAACAAAGAAACGGTTTGCTAGATCGAGATGAAACTTCACAGTTCCTCTGGGTATATCGAACTGTAAAAGTCATGCTTAAGATTAGTCATTTCGTGACTATTCTTTTTTTCCCGTTTTTTAAAATTCGTGTAAAAGATGAAAAAAAAAAAAATTCCAAAAAGTTGCGGCAGCATGTCATAGGAATTATTCCAGTGTTCGAAACCGCCTTTAATTCTCTGTACGACCATTTGTCGTCGAGATATCGATGATTGAAGACAAAAGGATCCTTTTCCATTAAAGTCCGATATTTCGATGAAAAATGGTCGTATCGAAAAAAAAAAGGAAATTGCAGCTGAATAAACAAGCTATATCCGGTCCGTGGCTTAGCTGAAAACATTTTTTCTAAGTCCGTAGACCGGCAAAATTTTTTTGTCACGCTATTTCTTAAAATTGCATGATAACTGTAGCTCTTAAAAAATTTGAACGGAAAGATCTAAAAACTAGAATCTTAGAGCTTCAAAGTGCTTTTTTGAATTTCCGATACGACCATTTTTCACCTAAATACAGTCAAAAATCACGGAAAAATTTTGGAAATTCTTTTGACCCTATAATTGTTTGCAATAGTGTAATTATATAATTATTAGTAATAAATCAGTTTAATGTCATGTTTTAAATGAAAAACTTGTGCATTCAAGTCTCAAGTTATTGATTTATTTTTAGCTGTGCCACAGCAACAGAGAGCTGGCAACCAGTTTTACAAGTGTGTCACGCTGATAGATCATGCACTGATCATACTTCGTCATGAATATTAAAAGCAACTGTATAAAAAATGTTAATTTTAATATTTTATGCACAAAACTTCTCAGTAATTGATAAATCGAAGTCTCTTCTTTCAGACATTTACTGAAATTTCGAAGTTTTTCAAACCTGAATATAAGTATTACAAACCCCACAAAATAATAAAAAATGCAAAATACAAAGACTAATTTATTTTTCATAGAAAAATCTTCACAGCTTTTAATAAAACATATGGAAAAATTAACAGTAACAGTCGGATCTTAAGAAAAAAATATCAACCACAATGGTTTTATACAATGACTTTCTGAAGGAACTAAAGTACGATGTTGATGTTAAATAAATAAGAATGATACATTCTCTAGTCTAATGTGCCTTCTTAGTGGGTTTCGCTAACTTCTCGTATTTGCTCTTGCTGCTATACCACAGAGCAAGAGGGATAGCCAGGGACGGCGAAGTCATCAGAGCGAAAGCTAACCAGTCCCAGTAGTGAGATGAGAACTTCTTGTCGTAGTCACGGAATGCTATGATGCCACCCTCACCTGGTTCACTGCTAAGTGACACTTGTACCTACAAAAACAAAAGAAATGTAATAAGAAACCATTCAAAGAAAGCAATCACATGATTTAAGAATAACAGCAAAATACCACATAACAAAAACAAAATCACTCACTTTTGCCGAGGCATCATCGGAAGTCTTGTATGTAGCTTCTGCACTTGTAAAATTGAAATATCCGTACCTCAACGGGCGAACTACTACAACATGTGTAACGTTAGTCTGTGGAGGAATTCTATCAAATCTTGATATCAGATGCCCTCCGACAACCTCGAAAGCTTCAGGATGAAAACCATTGTCAACGAGTTGTACATTAACAGCTGCTGTGGTTCCAATATTGTACAAAGTGTACTTAACCTCAATATCCTTAGTTTCTACTAAATATCTGTTCAGAATCTGTTTCGAAACCAGCAGTCTCGGACCTGTGTCTTCTTCAGATTCACATGATACTAGAGCAAATACTGCCAGAAGTAGAACTGCAATTTTTTTATACATTCTGAAATTATTAAAATAAATTAGTTGCTGAAGAAATTTCACAGAGCTTCATTAAACAGTTTTTAATATACCTACCTGTAGATTTAATTTAAATTTGTAATGTAATGACAATCCTGTAGTCAATCATACACCGTCTGTACAGTACACGTTTCAGAAATGTTGACTTAACTGAAGAACTGAAGTGAAATCAAAATCAAAACCCAATTAAAAACGCCACGCAGCGGCCACGTAACTGACAGCGACAGCAGATCAAAACACGAAACGCAAGTAGAGGCAGTGTGATACCTACATCTCCCTTAACTTAAAGCATATCCGTCAGAGGGCGCGTAAGTGCGGTCAGAAATTGTAGTGTGTTGTGTACTCATGATATTAACACACAATGTCATAATATTGACAGGATGACAGGACTAATTCAAGTTTTAATATTTAGTACATAGGTTTAGTATACAGGGTGGCATAAAAGTATGGGAACCTCAAAAAATTTCGAGAGATATGCATTTTCTGAAAAAATCAAATATAGGGAAAGTTAGGATTTTTCCCTGGCTATTGAATGGTGACCATGCCTTGACCACTGACCACGTGGTAATTATGGGGTCAAGACGATTTTTTTAAATTTTAAATTTTACGTTCAGATATGACCTTGACCATTTCAAAATGGCCGCGAAATCAAGATGGTGGAACCAATTTTTGAAAGTTAACCGATTGTCACCAAATTTTGTATACGGAGTCTTTCGAGGTCGCTCATCACGAATCCGAGGTCAGATTTTCAAAATTCAAGATGGCGGATCCAATCCACTGGTGAAACTGGAAACAATATTTTTATCGTAAAACATGTATTGTTGTTAACTGTCAAAGCCTGTGTAAAATTTCATTAAAATATTCTGAGCGGATATTTTTAAATTTGCATTTTTTTATTACGATGAAATTAAAATTTGGACGGCAAGCACACGGTCGCCGTTCTGTTTTTTGAACAATCGGCAGGCTTCAATGAGTAGTAGCTTATGCAGGTTTACACATTCATTTAAGGACACAGAAAACGTTCGTGAACATTTGCAGACAACCAGACATTTATGTGCTTCATAGTTTACAACTCAAACATTTTTTTTTAATATTTGACACGAATGGAATAGTTTACCTAAAATATGAATTAACATGCAATAAAATACCAACTTAAAAAGAACAAATTTATTGTAATAACTTAAAACATCACACCGATTTGTATTTGTCCACGTACAACGGCTTGAGACAGCACTGTAAATATTTGGACTTAAAATCACATCGAGTTAGGAAGAAACTTCACATTCAGTTAAAGGCCTTTAGGACCTGCTCTGCTACTTGGTTTTCTACATCTCTTGACTTGGGGACTGAGTTAAGCATGTATTCTGAGACTGTTATATAGACGGCTACACAGAAACCGATAATTGCCGCTAAATAGGTGTTTTTATGGAGAATTATGCACGTCGTCACACATAGGCCTAGGTAAGTCAAGTACCTTGCAATAACAACATAGCTTTTACGGTATTCCTCAGATGCATCTGAAAATAAAGAATAGACATTAAAAATGTTCAATTCTTAATTTTAAAATTCTAAATTTTATTTTATGTGTACGTCACTAAGAGTGAAAATTAGGAAAATGGGCTATTTGCATAAAAAAATGTGTAGACGTTTTGCCACTGACTACTATTCTACAGTGAATGTTAATGCCAACTGTACAAGTAATTTAACTCTACATACACTTTTATTTAATTTAAAAAATTAATCAATTGGCGCCGGATTTGAAATTTTCACTTAATGACGTCACCATACATTAAATGAGTTAAAAATGAACAAAATGAGGTTAAAAATCTGAAAAACATCCCATTTATCTCGATAAAAAATTGAAATTCTCAACTAGTTAATAACTGTACTTACCTGTACACATATTGTCCTTTTTATAATACCCCGATGCACAGTGTACGCACATATCGGGACCATCCCCCGAACATCCTGCACATGCCTTGTCACAGTCCAGGCACCTATAACCTCCTTCTTTGTTCACACAGAATTGCAAAGGTGTGCAAGGACTTTTGGATGCTGCACATTCGTTTACATCCAGGCAACCCTTTTCTTTGTCCATTAGCCACCCCGACTTACATTTTTCACAACCTTGAATAAAAAAGACAAATTATAAAAGGTGTTTTAATATTATCGACTTATTTTCAAGTTGAGAGAATGTCGATTAAAGTAAACTGTCTTACCTGTGGGTCCAGCTTTGGTACATGATCCGTCACATGATAAATGGCATTCGGAGCATAAGATCTTCCTGTCGTCCTTGTACGAGACATAGAAGGACTTGTCACATTTATCACAATAGTGCCCAGCATATCCCTTATCGCAAAAACATTTTCCATCCCCTTTTCTGGTACCCGCTCCCTTACATCTACCATTTTTGTGGCAGATATTGTCAGGGTAACCTGGACAAGGCAAGCAATCTTTCCCAAAATGCAAATCCTTACAGCAAACTTTGAAGGAGTCGATACATAAATATTTGTACAAATCGGGTTCTTCCGTTTGTTTATTGAACCACCAGTCTTCTAATGTTTCGTCGTATTCTTCCAGAAGGTTATAGCAAGATTCTTTGCCGTCCCTTACCTCCGAACAAAGCTTCTCTTGAATTTCAACAAATCTGATTTCACTTGTTGCATAGCTACCTAATTTCTCTTCCTCCCATGCTGTATCGCCACCTTCAAATTTAAACTTTGACGTGCGTTCAAGACCCTGCCAAAATAATTTTAATGTAAAGACGGACAAAAACATGTATGTTGAGACAAAAATCTAGGTAACAATACATACCTTTTTGAAAGATTCCACAAATGTTTTGCATGCCTTACAAGGTGGTAATTTGCTAGAATTAGAAGGAGGTTCTAAATCCCCAAAAGCAACAATTAAAACAGAGGTTATGTTAAAAACTACCCATCCAAACAGGAACCACCGCAGCATTCTTTAGCACCTTAGTAATGATACGGCAACTGTTTCGTTAATTATTCTATAGCATAATAATGCACCCTGTCTCGTTGCACCCTGGACTTTTGTAAATGAAATTTGCGCACTGCGCTTGAGTGTAGTTGTTATTGCAAAACAACCCCTAAGCACTGGGTTAAATGGAACACTATTTGCTTTACAAGACGAGGAAAATCTGAGCTTCCCTAACTCGAGCTACTCGCCCCAACCAGCATTTAATCAAACAGCCCTAGCGGCGAAACTATGCGGTGCTAATTAATACATTCAAAAATATACTGACAGATTCTAAAGAATAATCCTCTCAAAATCCTGCTGAACGCAGTGACGTACATGCTTGGGTTTTACCTAAATATTTAATTGGTAACTTTATAGTTTTATATAAAAAAGATGAGAGTTTTTTAACTGTTGGATAGGGTTTCACGATATAATATTTGTTAAACGTTTAAAAATTTTAAAATTTGATAAATTTAAATATAATTGCACTTTCACTGATCCGCTGCATTCGTTTGCTTTTCTTTATTATTTATCTGCCTCATCATAATTAATATGAGTCAGTTTATAAAAAGGTCTCAGTCTTAACTTAACCACAACTTTATCGTAGTTTTAAGCTTTAGTCTTAGTCTCAACAATAATATTTTTACTTCGTTTAAAAAAATTGGGTTTTAACCAAATCTTGAGAATTGGTCATTTATGAACATACTTCTTTGCGCGCGTACTTGCCGTGGTATTATTTTTAGTCCTAAAAAGTTAAAAGAGAGGGAACTTTGAATGGCAGGTCTTACAAACAGCTTAGGATTTTTAAAAACTAGCACAATAAAATTTGTACTAAGGCTAAGTTAAGACTAAGGCTAAGCCTTTTTATAAACTCGCTAAAATTGTAATTCTGGGAATAATTCGGTTTTACGTTTCAGCTAATAAAATAAGAATTAACAGGATGATGATTTCCCTGATACGCCACTGGACAAACAGGAATTAGTTGTAAGTGCCCCCGTACGTGCTGAGCTGTGATTGGTTTATTCATAACTGCCTCTTAAATAATGATTGACAATTATTGTTAATCCTAGTATTAAATTACAAAATATATTAGTTTAATAAACCTTAGAATTGATAACTCCTTGTTTAATAAACGTTTTTAATAAAATGTCTCTATAATTTCATAGTTCATAGGTTTCTACTGTGGACGGAACCCTCATAGAATTAACTATGAATGCCTAATGGTTTCCTAGTTACATACAGATGGCAAAATTATAAAATACCTAAATGATTTTAAATAATGCTCCTTCTCTTAAGTACCTAGATAAATTTTATTTTTTAAATTCAATTCTGGTATATCTAATAATTAAAATTAAATCATATAAATAGGAAACTTTATTAAGCTCTATAGTGGCGACATCCAGTAGTAAGTTCGTAAAGTAACATTTAGAGTTTAAATAGATGCGCTACTAAAATATTTCGTCCATAGATGGCACTGCAGTTAACTAACATATTTATAAATTTAATGTAGTTAATTTAAATACTGAAACATAATAATTATATTAATTACATTACTGATGATGTTATAAATAACTATTAATGTAATAATTGCAACCATAACTGATTCGAATTATTTGATTGTATTTTTTAAAACAATTTACATATAGAATTTTTAAATTCAGGTAGAAAGTACAATATTTTTGCAGAATTGAAAGTGCATTAATATCATTTCAAAAATTGCCACGTTTTACGCATATTTTGTAAAAAATGTTTTGAAGTGTAAAGGTAACTGTAATATGTTTCTGTTACACTGTATTTAATCGATGGTCCATAGATGGACAACTATTTATACATATATTTCAAACTACGAACCATTTAGTTCACAAATATGGTGACTATTTACAAACAAGGTAAAAGAGTGTTCAAAACACATCTAATTAAATTAAACTAAACAAGAAACTGTTTACAAATTAATAAACACTCCTGATAAAATTTTTCTATTATACCGATAGGTATATCTATAAAATAAATTGTTGTAGCAAAAGTCATAGAGGAGATAAATTCATTATTGTTATAATTATCTAGAATATGTATAGATAACCATTAATAGGTAATAACTTGGTACATTAAATTAAAACTCAGTAGCGTCATAAGCTGTTTTAACGCTTTATAATATTTGATTTAATTATATATTTTTTTACAGAAAATAGTTATCTATTAAAACCATTAAGGTTTTGATAAAAACTGAATAATTTTTTGGAGTAAAGAGATAAATAAGTTATTTTCTTCATTAATGTACTCCCAACTTTACCGATAACGTTTCAGTATCAGTAAAAGGTAAAATACATATGTATTTCATAAATTGTCTATATAGGAAGCAAAGTGTTACCACAAGCATATATGTATTATATTTTGACTAATTTGTGTTTTATTAACAATATTAAAGACGCACCACTGCGGCGAAGCTAGGCAGATATTATTATCATATTCAACTTTTTTTTATGCTTCTTTCTAAAATTTCTGTTGATAAGTCTCTACTTGGTACGCATTTTATATTTATTCAAGCGTTATATATCTTAAAAAATAGCAAAATAAATAGTACGGATGATATTCTTGCTATTACAATAGAATAATGGTTAATTGCTCTAATAACTTCGAGTGAAGTTCATTAATGATAATTAATAAAATTGATGAAGAAGTTGCGTACAGAATTTTTCATATGAATTTCAATTAATTTGAATTTTCTGCGCTTATTTGTACTATTAAAAAAAAATGTGTGCCCCTAAGATTTAGGACCTTTTTCATTTTGCCAGAATTTAATTTTCCAGAAATTCTCAAACTGTTTTCAAAATGAAATTATATTTTGATTCAAAATCGTTAGTATTGCTTGTAAGTAGTTTTGTCGTTAAAATTACCGACATTTTCTATTAATGGTTATAAATAATTTGAACAAACCTAGACCAAACGACAACGTCCTGATGAATTAATGCAAAGTGGGGAATAAACTATAAATTTAATTGTCTTATGCAGAATTTAATTTACAATTAAAAGAGTGTTGGTGGTTAAATGCAACAATTGACAATTGAGAGGGTCTAGTTTAAAGAGTGTTCAAGGTTTCGGTACAGAATTATCTACCTACTGTTTATAAATGTGAGTAAAATATTTTATCAGAACCGTGTTTTTATTTCGTGTATAAGTATGAATGGAGGTGATTAACGGTATTATCTAATTATATTTGTTGTCTAATGTCTGGCTTAGTTTAAACAAATATTTTGTTTTAAGTATATTCTGTTTGAGTTACAACATGAATTTTTGAACGACCAGAAGTGTAACACACACAATACTTATTTAAAATTCTGTATAATAATGAAATTAAAAGATTTTCTGTAATAAATAACTCACATTTTTTATCCCCCTTTGGTAACGAATTACACAATTAGTATGTATTATTCACTTATTAAGAGCGGTAGTAGCGTTAGTTTGCTAAAAATTTAATGGTGCTTTTGTGGAGGTTTACAGGTGATAATGTCTCTTCTTTATTGTCAAGATTGTAATTTCATGTAAATAAGTTAACAATACCTCTCCTTAAATGTTATATTTTTATATACGAATTTAATTACCCTGTCTTAACTTCTACCTAATAATATAACGTTTGTTTCTCTTTAATTTTATTTATGAAAAAAAAAATACAGCACATTTATTTATTTTTATTTAAGTAATGTTTACTAGTAGTAGGAAATGAATATATCAATGAAACAGAACGAGAAAATCGTAAACTTTTTTAAGTGTTATTTTTTTTATTGCAGACGTGGTATGGAGGAAGACCTTGACAAAATTGAAGTCATACCGGGGTCCCCAGTACCTTCAGATCATGACAATCATGACAATCATGACAATCATGACAATTCCTCTTTATTCGATATAGGTCAAGACGGAAGTCTTGAATCTTTTTTTATAATAATTGAACCGCCACCTCCTGGTTTTTGGTGGAAATTTAAAGATTTCGTAAACAGAAATAAGCCCGCTTGTCCTCCGCCTGTTTGCTACCTTTTGACTGAGCAACTCATTGTATTTTTTGCACTCGTTTCCATTGGATTAGTGGGATTTTTGGTCTATTGGTTTACCGAGAGAAAATAGGAGTAATAAGATCCAAGAGAAAATACATTATAAATTTTCCCACTACTTTTAACCATATGATTACGAATGTGAATTGAAGTTTTACAGAATTGTTTTAGTATTATGAAAAAAACTGATGGACGACATGGAATATTTTGGACTCCACAAAAAGTTTGAAGTTGAAACACGAATTGCAAAATTGACCAAAGATTAAAGAAACTTTGAAATAACAAAAGATATTTGAAAAATATAAAGCGAAAAAAAAATCTAGTAAATATTTGAAATTGAAGTACATTTCATCCTTTAATACTATGCAATTTTGTTAATTTATATGTTTAGTTGTTCTTATTACTGTATTTTAACACTGATTATTTAAAACAATATTTATTTATATGACTTTTACGAAATAAATAATAAAAACGGCTCTGTTTGTTATTTGAAATAAAGCAAAGTAGAAATCAATGAATAAACAAACACTTTGTAATGTTTTATTTACAAATGTCATTTTTTTATTATTATTACAAAATAGGTTAAGGCAGAGGAAAGTTCATATCGTGTTATGCCCAAAAAATAACAAATTATGTAGGGCTTATTTTGTATATTGACAGCTATTTATTTTGGCCTGCACTGACGCCTATATTTTTGAATCGGTACATTTAAATTTTTTGGCATATGAAGGAGATGGTCCTGTCACTACTTTTTACTAATTTGTGCCCTGCCGAAGAATCTCCTCGCAAGGAGTGTAAAATAATTTAAAGCCATAATTGTAGCTTTGATATTAGATACTCCCATGGCCACAACTACCACAAAATAAGGCGTTCTTTTAGTGCTTCGAGACACGTGGTGCGCGCGCATGGGGTGGGAGCACAACGTGGGTTTTGAGGAGTGGGGAAACATTTCTGTCAGTCTAACGCGGGTAGCTGGTTGGGAATGTTTATGTTATCGGTTCGCGCGTAATCTCCAGGCCACGTATTTCGAATATTTTTCGGGTGGTGAGCCGTGAAAAAAAAAAACAGGTAAGGCGCGATGATTCCATTGTACAAAGATTTCCACCTTTCAAAGCGCATACTATAAGTTAAGAAATGCAAACTAAAGTGCATAAGTTGTAATATTTTGTTCAGAATGGGATTAATTTAAAAAATAAACAAAGCTATTGTTAAAACAACAGGGAAATTACAATACTATTTGTTAACGCGTTTTCCAAAAATATTTATTGAAGGTAACAGATATAACAAAACATACAGAGTAGCTGCAATTTTTCACATAAGGAAAATTGTATATTTTCGGCACCTGTAAACTTTTTGGATTAAAAAATGAACTCGGTACAAAATACCTTCCCAATCCGAGTGTTCTTAAAATTCGAAAGACAAGAGAATTTTCCAAAGGCGTGAAATATCTGCAACAATCGTTTACCGCAGCCCCTTTTAAAACTTTCAATTTCTTTCTATATTTCAGTGATGGAGAACTCAGCATACGTGCCAAATTCCAGTCATTTGAACTCCCCAGCTTTGGTGGTGTTTTCCCAAGCTGCCGGAGGCCTGCAAGACGCACTGAGAATCCAAAGACCCTTCAACCCACAGGTCAGTTAACTGTTAAATATTAGTTTATGGGAGATATAGGAAATTGTATTTTCAGACAGTTGTGATACCATATCGGAAAATGATTTGTCTTTGATGTAATACGCATAGCCGGAGACAGATTTTCTTGGAAAAAATCAAGAACTTTCAAAACTATTTTATTATACGTTTGTTATATCGAATATATTGTATTTGTTTTTTAAAACTTACGAACTTGCTATACTTTAACACATCAGTCTTAGCGAAATACATAAGCCGTCGGTAAAAATGTCTGATTGAAATCGTAAAAATATAAATCTTATCAAATGAAATCAAATAATGTTCTTTGATACCAAAAATCTAGGGTATCTATGCAAAAGATATCTAACTTCATAGACAAGATACTTGACTGATGACATTGCAGGAATCAACTACTCTGCCCAACAAGCATTAATGTAATGAGTAATTACGTAAAATAAAAAATATTCAATTATTATACTTGCAGAATGTTGCCAAATTTATCTTTAGATATTAAATTTTGGTGCTATTCCTTCCTGAAATGTTTAGAAATAAATCAATACTAATATGATCTTCATACCTTAGTCTATATGAAAGCAACATGTTTAGATAAAATGTAAAATTTTTGTTTTTCAATTAAAATACCAAAGAAAACTTTACATGAACCTTTTTTAAATTTAATTTCAATTGAACATTGGGACTAAAAGAAAAACGATTGAGTTATTTGCGGTGCAGCAGTTGTTCTTCATTAAATTGAACACAAAATTATATATGAGTAGAAAAAAAATCATAGCCTACTCGATATCAAACAATTTATTTCGTTTGAGAACTTTTTCCAACTCACCACTAACGATACTCACGGAAAAAAAAATTATAACCAGAACCCCAGTGAAATTAATTTGTTTTTATTTAATTTGCCACGATTCTGCATAAGTGGGCAAACACATTTAAAAAAAGCACCTAAATTTTTTTAAAATCAGCTTAAATGTTATTAAAATCCTAACTTTTGGGTTTATAGAAAACAATTGGAAAACTTGAGAGTTAAATTTGTGACAAAATGCATTCTTCAGTTAGCACCATTATTTCGGTGGCGAATGTTTACTGAAACCTTTGTTTGTTTCCCATAACATTTTTTTAGTTACTTTACTATATGGACTATTAAAATTTGATATTGATACTTATTTGTTGTATATTTAACTCTTTCTTTGTTTACTTTTGTATTTTTCCACCTGTTATCACCTGAAATGCATCTATTTAGGCGTGAATTATTAATTTCGCTATCCTCTTTTGCAGTTCGCCATGTCGGAAGCAACGAAAGACCTCCACAGGCCCTTCACAGCGTCCACCTTCGGCCTCCGGCACATGGAGGCGTACAGCGGGATACCGGCACACATCCTCAACCACCTACAACCCCAATTCCTCCACCCCGGTCTTTCGCTCGGTTCGGGGGCCTTCCGCCCCCTCGGCGACCTGAAATCGTTCCCATCGCCCTCCGCTTTCGCGCCCCCGAAGTGTTTAAAAATCGAAACGAATAGTGAGTCGCTCCATGCTAGTCATAATCACGGGATATTCTCGCCGTCGGAAGAGAGGATTTTGGGTCCCAGCCCCAGGACGGACTCTTGTTCCCCGGCTAGCGCCTCCATGTCCCCCCAGCCCCAGACGGCGGTCAAGGAGGAGAGCCTGGACGCGCAGATGTCCGAGGATGGCGACGGGCACGGCCAGGGTAATGGCAACGACTCCCCTGGAATTCACGAGGAGAATCGAGGATTTAGAAGTAAGTTTTTCTTTATAGTTCTTCAGTTAAATCTGCAAATGTGCCAATTTTGCTATACTTTCGATTCGTGCATTGGAAAAATTGAAAAGGCACAGCTCAAAAACGGTGTTTTAAGTACCACAAGGTGGCGATCAACAACCAACAGTTTACTTATTTTACTATACTTTCGATTTTGACAGCTCAAAAACGTTGTCTTAATATGTCTTATATAGTGATGAACTTTTAAAATTATTAAAATTGAGAAGAACCGAGGTTTAAAAATATTTTTTTCTTCATATACATGTTAAAACTGCGGATTTACTGATTTTACTATATTTTCCATTTCTACATTGGAAAATAAACTTTTAAAATTGACAAAATTGACAAAATTGAATTGGGTTGAGGTTTAGAAGTATGTTTTCCTTCACATACATGCAGAAACTGTGAATTTACTAATTTTACCACCCTTTCGATTAATGCCCTGGGAAAATTGAAATGATAAAACTCAAAACCGTTGCTTTAAGATGTTTCACATTTTCATAATGAAAGAATTTTCTTAACATGGTACATGTTAAACTAGGCTTACTAATTTTACTGTTTTTCGAAAATTGTCTAGAAGAAATTAAAAAAATAGAGCTCGAAAACGTTGCTTAATTACTACATGAGATTCGAGAGTTTAGAAGAATGATTTTCGTTATTGTGTTTAATTATTTTTCAATTCTGGAAAAATTCAAAACATATCATTGAAAAACACTGTATTTGTCTTACATTACTACAAAGAGATCCTTAAAATTAATACAATCGTGGATTTAGAAATATTTTTTTCTTTTTCAAATACTTACATGTTTAAACTGTAAGTTTACCAGTATTACTACACTGTCAATAATTGCCTTAGAAAAACGTTGTTTTAGTTACCACAAGAAGGCAGATTCTTGATATTAACTATGTTGAAGAATTCCTACAGAATAAAACTATAATATAGCTCAAGAAAATTAGGACACAATTTTTTTTTAGTTAGAATAAATCTGATAAAACCAGCGTTTTCAACGAGACCGAGAACGTATATTTGGACTTTTTTTATAAAGGTTTTGGGCCACTTTCATATTTTGGTAATTTTTCCTACAGAATATACATAAACTATAATATAGCTCAAGCAAATTAAGACAAATTTTTTTTTTAGTTATAGTAAATCTGACAAAACCAGCGTTTTCAGCGAGTTCGAAAACGTATATTTGGCTACTTTTATAAAGGTTTTGGGCACTTTCATATTTTGGTAATTTTTCCTACGGAATATACATAAACTATAATATGGCTCAAGCAAATTAGGACAAATTTTTTTTTTAGTTATAGTAAATCTGACAAAACCAGCGTTTTCAGCGAGTTCGAAAACGTATATTTGGCTGCTTTTATAAAGGTTTTGGGCATTTTCATATTTTGTAATTTTTCCTACGGAATATACGTAAACAATAATATAGCTCAAGAAAATTAGGACAAATTTTTTTTTAGTTAGAGTAAATCTGACAAAACCAGCGTTTTCAGCGAGTTCGAAAACGTATATTTGGCTGCTTTTATAAAGGTTTTGGGCATTTTCATATTTTGTAATTTTTCCTACGGAATATACGTAAACAATAATATAGCTCAAGAAAATTAGGACAAATTTTTTTTTAGTTAGAGTAAATCTGACAAAACCAGCGTTTTCAGCGAGTTCGAAAACGTATATTTGACTACTTTTATAAAGGTTTGGGGCACTTTCATATTTTGGTAATTTTTCCTACGGAATATACGTAAACAATAATATAGCTCAAGAAAATTAGGACAAATTTTTTTTTTTAGTTAGAGTAAATCTGACAAAACCAACGTTTTCAGCGAGTTCGAAAACGTATATGTGGCTGCTTTTATAAAGGTTTTGGGCACTTTCCTATTTTGGTAATTTTTTCAACGGAATATACATAAACTATAATATAACTCAAGAAAATTAGTACAATTTTTTTTTCCGTTAGAGTAAATCTGACAGAACCAGCGTTTTCAGCGAGTTCGAAAACGTATATTTGGCTGCTTTTATAAAGGTTTTGGGCATTTTCATATTTTGGTAATTTTTCCTACGGAATATACATAAACTATAATATAGCTCAAGCAAATTAGGACAAAATTTTTTTTTAGTTAGAGTAATTCTGACAAAACCAGCGTTTTCAGCGAGTTCGAAAACGTATATTTGGCTGCTTTTATAAAGGTTTTGGGCACTTTCCTATTTTGGTAATTTTTCCTACGGAATATACATAAACTATAATATAACTCATGAAAATTAGGACAAATTTTTTTTCCGTTAGAGTAAATCTGACAAAACCAACGTTTTCAGCGAGTTGGAAAACGTATATTTGGCTACTTTTATAAAGGTTTTGGGCACTTTCATATTTTGGTAATTTTTCCAATGAAACTCCATAAACTATAATATAGCTCAAGAAAATTAGGACATTTTTTTTTAGTTAGAGTAAATCTGACACAACCAATTTCAGCGAGTTAGAAAACGTATATTTGGCTACTTTTATAAAGGTTTTGGGCATTTTCATATTTTGGTAATTTTTCCTACGGAATATACTTACATAAACTACAATTTAGCTCAAGAAAATTAGTACAATTTTTTTTTCAGATTCTGAATAATAAGAAAATTGAAGGTGTAGAAATGTTTTTCTTTATACGTGTTAAGATTGTGATTTACCAATTTTACTACCCTTTCAATTATGGCTTATGAAACACGTTATTTTGTGTTTTACGTTACCACGGGGAGGAGAAAAGAAACACCGATCGACTGGAAAAGAAATGATTAATCTGCATTCTGATTCACTGCAGCATTGTTTTCTTTAACTACCGTTGGAAATGATTAAAATAAATAAAATAAACTTATCAACATTTATACATGAATCAGCAACCATATGCGAATATTTGGTAGCGTTTAAATAATCTTGTTGGGCTTAATATAACGATAAATACTGTAGAGTTTTGAAATTACGGAAACTTACAATAATTACTTAATCACACAGTATGTCAAAATGTCGAATTTATTTGATTTGGTCATTTTTGTTTTCACGCCGATTTTGTAGCTTCGGTAGATTTTAGAAAAATGAATCGCTGGTTTTGCAGGCAGTCTAACATGATCCTAAGAACAACATCTTGACGTTGTGCCACGGATATAAAATCAAAATGTGTTATTACCTACAAGTAAAAACTTTAAAAATCAATTACATGCCAATATTCATTACGATAATAATTAATTGTTTAAATACGATAAATAAATGGCACATTGTCAGCGGCGTGACTAATAACCGGAATTTCGGGTAATTTGTTATCATTAAATATTGGCTAAAGCGATACTGTTAAATATTTCATATAATAATCATTAATTATTTGTAATATTTAACCGCTGATCGCGCCGTTTTGGTTATTTTAATATGCCCGTAATATAATCTCTTTTTAACTACATTATTTTTCAATTTAGCAGCTTTTAAAATATAATTTATTAAAGTGGTAGTATCACAGAACTTCCTCATAAAAAGAGTCGATTAAAACACAACAATCTATCATTAGAAGCTAGCTACAAAGAAGCTCCTGCGTGCCAGATCAGATCATTTAATATGTCGTGCACCAAAACCATTCATTGAATCACCCCGGAAGGAACAATTCTGTTTTTCGATCTTGGCTTTGAATCTTTCATTTTTAAAACTGTTCTGAAACAGACTTGCACTTGAAGATATGTCGACTATGTGTCAGAAATGTCCGGAGGCTGTTTGGTTCTTGTATCGTTGATTTCATCGAGATTCTTAATTATATCTCAAACCAAATTTTGGTAAGTTAAACTCGCAATCGTGAACCCGCACTCTTAAGAGATTTAGTGGCATTCTTGAGTGGCTCTGGTCGTGTTACGTACATACAAACACCAGTACTAAAGTATTTTTATGGTTCGGCGGACCTTCGAGGAGGATATATTACTTTCATTTCGAATCACCGATCCACCGGGGTGCTCCGAAACGCGGCCCCCGCCAGAGAAACCGTTCTCGCCCATAATTAATGACAATCGAAATTAAAAACGTAAAGACCGTTATTGGTTCCGATTGATACGCGCCCCAGCCACAAATCACACCGAGATTTATTGCGGAATAAGTACGGAGGCGGAATCTTAGTTTACGTGGAATTTCGACGCTGTTAAATAATCGAAACTCTCGTGAATTTCCTACGCTGCCCAAAAAATCAGAGCAGTTCCAATGAAATTTAAACGATCAGATTGGTAAACGTATTTCAACTTTAATGCTCCCAAAATACACTGTTTTGAGAGTGTTAACACCCTGTATATCTACAATATATGCCGATTTTTTCGGAGAAACAAAAAAACATCCGAAAGTTTCAATTTGTTTTGGTCAATTATTCGCAACCAGAATGAACATTACGTGGAACTACATCGAAAAAAAATTGTATAGATAACTACAATTGTGTACATTTTTTTTCACCAAATGAAGAGTTACAATAATTTTTGAAAAAATAAATAGGGACAATAATATTTTTTAGTACTTATGCGGTATAACATAATTTCTCTCCACAAATCTTGTGTTTTGCAACTCCGTATAGTATAGATTTTTTTTGAGTTGTTTATTGGAGATTTTACATGTTTTTTATACAGTCGAAAGATTTCGCGCATCGAACAATGAATAACGGCGCGTATTTTAAGAACAGAAACGTCATATTTTCGCTTCCAACAACAGCGTATTTTCTTGATCAGAACTATAACATTTGCCGGCCTGATTCCTGGATTGAAATAGTGTGAACATCAAACTTTACATTGTAGATGCAGTTTATTTTAATATAATTCTGAATATTTTTGCGGATATGGGCCTGTAAACGGTTTATTTCTCGACCAGGTGGACACAAGCCACTTTAACGGAAGAAACAATAGCCTACTAAGATCACATGTTTATTTAGCCAGAGCAGTTGGGTTTCATCTAGCCATATAAACAAAGTGTACGGTCTTAGGC